GGTCGACAAGAACATCAGTCAGCCCACCTTCAAAAACAATGTCAGCCACTCTCAAACTTGAGAACCAACCTGATTGTCTTCTTTATCAATACTAGAGTTATCTCGCTTCAAGATAAACCGCTTCTGGGATTCTTCACCTTTTTCATCTTTTAAATGTTCACAAAACCTTTGCTCTGGTCTGCCAGCAAAGTAAAACATATCAATAAAAAAGTTTGGCCTCCTGTTTAAAGTTATTTCTTAGTGTTCTTTTTTTTCCCCCACAGTGGCATTCAACTTTAAAAGAAAAAGTTAACACGCGGTTTTGATACTAGAATCTCTGGCAATATACAGGTAAGTAATGATATGTCCCTTCACAGGTGTTGTTAGAATCCCTTTGGTTGGTTTGAATTCGGAGTATTGTTTTCTGCACGCTGCTCACCATGGCTGAAGTTGAAAAACTATTGTAAAGGCCTGCACATATGAAGTGTGTAGATGTCCCTGGAGTGATGTGGATCGCCATTACTTTTGAATTAAATCAAGTCCCCGCCCACATTCTGGAACAAATTTACATGTTTAGAACTTGGGAGTAACACATTAATTCATCAACGTTTCGGAAACTAGGAGAGACAATTCCCAGCATATCCTCCTGTTAAAGAATTTTTTAAATCTGAACTGAGAGAGGATCATTTATAAATTATTGCCTTCTTTCTCCACTGATAACTGTTCTAGAATCTGGCTCCAGGAGGCTCTGACATCCTTGACCAAGTCTTGTAAATCCGTTCAGTAATTGGAGAAACTGGAAATATTTAGTTTAAACAGCTTAATGACTGATTAGCAAGGGGAAAATGCTCCAAGCAGTTAAACCTTATTGATCAGTCAATTGATTTTTTTTTCGGTCCTCTTAATCATTTTGTATTATTACAGGAAAGCGCTCCACTTCCTTGTTAATTTCCCACAATCGTCACTGCACTTCTCAACGAATGACTTGGGCTTGGGTTCCTCCCCAGAGGAAGTGCTGGAATATTTGTCCTGGGGTTAGAAACAGTTGTTATTTATGACTCTCATTAAAGTGTCCCTGTCATATCTGATGGATTACTTCCGAAGCTCAGTGGGTTTTCTATCCCTACTGGGTTCATTATGCCTTCAGTCATTAGGAAGCCACTTCAAAGTATCTGTTGTTTAATATGGGTGACCAGTGATTAAGGGCATGCCACCGTTTCCTTATAGATCCAAAAATAAGTCAATAGCACTTAGAAAACAATGAATTCATTGAAGTATATAATTCAAATATTGGTGGGACTCATCCTTTCCTTAAATGCATATACATAAATTATACTAATAGTGGTGAACAGATACTAACAGAAAACTGGAATAATACCAGTTATAGCTTCTAGAACTCTGTATAATGCTTGCAAAATTGTACATTCTTTTTCAACCCTTGCAATACAACTTTGATGTATGAGGAGCAAGTATATTTTGCCTCTTTTACAGATAAATAAACCATCCCTCAGTGACATTTTGGCTCCAAGTTTATAGACTTGTCCACTGAGCCGCAGGCGTTGGTCTATTCACACCCTTGCAGAGCTATGATGCAGTCCCTCTCTGTTAATGCCGCACACAGTCGGCCAGGGGCCTTCAACCTCACAATGAAAACAAAAACCCTGCATCACATCATCTTAAAGATCAATGTAAACGTTTTCCACCATAATTACAATGTAGTGAAACATAACTAACAATCCGGATGAGCAAATGTGACAATGCTCTAACTAACTGAACTACCTGGCCAGGGCTAAATCTTCTTTTTTACATACTTAATCCTTAGTGCCTAGAACTGTGCCTGGCATATGGGAGGCATTTGGTTAAATAACTAAATGAATAGATGTATGCATGAATAAACATTTAGTCCAGCTGTATATAAATCAATGCAACTAAAGGAAAAGATCAACGGGTCACTGAATAAGATATGCAGTCATACAGTGTAAAATTATAAAACAAAACAGAAGAGAGTCTGGTTAGTAGGAGCATAAGTTCAAATTATAAGAAGATCATTATAAGAAGATCTTTATAAGATCATTATAAGATCTTTTTAAGATCGTTATAAGAAGATCTTTAAAAATCAAAACCGTGTTTCACTTTAAGGGGACCCAAAATAATCATGTTATTAAAGTTTTTAAAAATTTGAGGGTATCTTTGGAAGAGAGGTGGAAATAAGAATCTTAGCTTTTCTAGTTTGGGAATTCCTCAGCAGTGGTTCTCAACCTTCTGGCCCTTTAAATACAGTTCCCATGTTGTGACCCAACCATAAAATTATTTTCGTTGCTACTTCATCACTGTAATGTTGCTAGTGTTATGAATCGTAATGTAAATATCTGATATGCAGGATGGTCTTAGGCGACCCCTGTGAAAGGGTCGTTCAACCGCCAAAGGGGTCGGGACCCACAGGTTGAGAACCGCTGGTTTAGAGTGTCATATCTAGGAGAGAGCTATTCAAACACTATTTTTGAAATTTCATCTGCGTTTCTTTGTAAGGCTGATTTATTTGTTTTTCACAGCAGTACATAGTTAGGTAAAATGCTCCATCACACAATTAAAGGGTAGTCAAAGGAGCTTGTTCTAATCAACAATGTAATAGAGCAAGAATATTTCTTACTCTGATATAAATTATGCAAAGCACATTTTCCATAACTGCTTTTCAAATGGCTTGTTTACATTTTTTCAACATTAGAACCCAACATCCGAAATTATTAATCCACTTCATGATTTTCCAAAAATATTTTCAGAGATTATGAAGTAGCCATCTGAAGTATGCGTAAAGGAAATAAAATAAACCTAGTAAGATTTTTCCAGGTCGGTTTTATAGAGAACGATCCATGACTCTAAAAGCTAAAGAGCAATTTGCAGATGAAACTCATGAAAACTATAATACATAGCTGAAGTATTGCATGTGATTAAACTAGAAATTACTGATAATGTACCATTATTTTATACCTTTCAAAAATCCTTTTTATCACTAATTTAACATCAGAGCAATATTATTTCTTAGCCATAAAGTGAACGAAACCAAAATAATATATGTACCCTTTTTAAAAAATGGGAATAAATTACTTTGAATGTATCAATATAAGGATGTAATGCTAAGAAAAACTCCTCAAGGCTGCAAAATGTCATGGTCTTTATGAAGGTATTGATAACTAGAGTTTACTACTTATCTCATGGGCATGTGTTACAGGTGCTTAAATTTATTTTTTCTAGTGGATTTTAGTCCATGAGTTATTATTTCTAGCTTTCTCTGTATCATCATCAAAAAGCAGAAAATATTAATTTAATATTTTTTCTTGATGAAAAAAACTCTTCCCTTTAAATGTAAAACAAGGTTTTCCCACAATTCATAGCATGCATCCACTTGTGAAAGTCCTTGTTCATGCATGGTGGATAGCACTGGCATCCCCAACCAAACCTTTCAAAAATTAGAATTAACTCACCCTAGCTGGGTTTGCTCAGTGGTTAGAGTGCCCGCCCTTGGACTGAAGGATCCTGGGTTCATCCCAGTCAAGGGCATGTACCTCGATTGCAGGCTTGATCCCTAGCCCTGATCTGGTCACGTGTAGGAGGCAACCAATCGATGTTTCTCTCTTTATCTCTCCCCCTCCCTTCCACTCTCTCTAAAGATCAATGGAAAAATATCCTCCAATGAGGAGTAACAAAAAAATATTAGAATTAACTCCTCATTGTTCCTTATTAGACAGCTCATGAATTGAAAGGAAGTGTGGCTGAGTGAAATACTATGTAAGTCAATCAATCAATTAATTCTTCTAGTCAATTAATTCCAATTACAGTTAGAGTTCTCTTTGAGCTTAAAATAGATGAGCAGTTCTTATAATGATTTTTAAAATCTTTTTGTTCTAGAAGTATTTTCAATGGTTTGCTCTCACTGCCAGTTTCTTGAGGCCAAATTTATTACTTTTTTTCCTGTCTTCTCCCTCCCTCTACACACAAATGAAGAATTCAATTCTGTGACATATGGAGGTGTACAAAGACTTTGAATTTCATACTGAATAACTGAAAGATGGTCATCAATATGCATAAATATCTTAATAAAGAAAGGTTGCTGCACACAACAGAATAAAGATTTTGGTGGTGCAAGACATCTATCAAAAAGACTTAAAGCAAAACATATTAGAGGAATCTAAGTTTCCCTTAATGCTTTAAATTTTTCAGTTAAAATATTTACAACTGATTTTTTTCTTTAAAAAACAAAGCCCAGCCATTCTTCTTTAAGTATCTCACAATCTCCGCTATTATTTTGTCATTTTGTACTATTTTAGTCTCGTTTAAGTGAGTCTATACCTTATCAATCCAATATAGCCAGTGCTTCCTTTATTAGCATCTTTCAAAAGGATGTTCTCAATTCTCTACACCTTTGAAAAGTTCATTTTATTCTTCTCTATTTTGATTGTGTACTGTGTGTATAAACAGAGACATGCAAACTAGCATAGGATACACCCTGACCCTCCTCTAATATAAGGCTATTCATGAGCAACAACAAAATGAAGCAGAATATTCAAAGGCCACAAGGGTCAGTAAGACACCTCCTCTTAAATTGGTACCACTGCTCAGGCTCACTGGCCATGGGCATTAAGAGGCTTGAAAGTGTCAACCCTCCTTGACACAGTGATTCTATTTCTAAGACTGAAATCATAGGAAACAGTAATGAATTAATACACAGTTCCATTGATCACGGCAGCAAAACAGTGGAAATCCATGGTGGATTGATTAAGTAACTTAAAATATCTCCATATGTAATATGCAACTTTATAAAATGATATTCCATACTTTACTAACATAGAAAAGCAATTTGTAAAAGATGTACCATGACCAGGTTTGTTGAAACTATAATATATAATAATAACAACGCTGGTAGCAGTGATTGTCTCTGGATGGTAAGATAATGGGTAACTTTTACGGCTAACCTTTGATATACTTCTGATTATTATAATAAACATGTAGTTTTTCAGAACAACAAATTAACAAAAACGATTAGTTTAGAAAGATAGGAAACAAATTCGACAATTTCAAATTGGTTTGTATTTAATCACTGGATTATGAACAATGAAAACATTCTTACTTTCTGAATAGTTTCCAAATTTTCGTTCATGGCCTATATTATTTTATAATCAGCTAAAAATGTTTTATTTTGCC